TATAACTTCAATTGGGGATTCGTGATCCTAGTGACTTTAATTTGATTCATTTCCCTAAATTAACTTTTGAATTTGCATAATTTCATTTACTTGAGTGTTTGAGTCGTTCAATTAGAGAAATTTTGAAATTAGGGTTTCTAATTGAGAAATTAGGATTTTCAATAGAAATTAGGGTTTTTAATTGAAATTAGGGCTTTTTGCATTTAAACCATATTATCACTCAATTAGATTCGGTTAAGGGTAGATTATGTAGAATTGAACTACTTAATCTCTGAGGGACGATATTCGGACTTTTAAAAATCCACTTTATTACTTGTTACGAACCGTACACTTGCGATAGTTTTAAATCGAAAGAATTATTTCGTGAACACAATCCAAAAGCGAAACTCAAATTTCATAATTGCAATTCCTAAAACAATCAACCTTGTTCAAACCTCGCTTTAATAACCAATTTAGCTTTCCAAAGAACCACCTAAATCTTGACTTTGATACCACTTGTTATAATTGGGCCAAATAATTAAAGAACGAGAAAATGTGAAAAATATAAAAATAACGGATCACAAAAAAAAAAAAAAAAAGATTTACTGGAAACCCAGATCCAAAAAAACCACGAGCATATGTGGAGAATTCATGATAATCAATAGTAAGGAATTACAAAAAATCTCTTCGAACCAATAAACTAATTGGACAATTAGTCAATTTCAATATATATTGTACACCACATATTTATAAACAAAGGATTCCTAACATATTAGGAGAATTAATACATGAAGAGTTTAATATAAGATGAATTCCCAGTACAATGGGTAGAATCAATAATGGAATATTTGGGATGAAATAGGAATAAAAAACTGCCAAAAAGGGGAATCATTCTCTTTATTCTTCTTGAACTCCTTCAATACCTCTTGAAGTCTACTACAAGCTCTCAATACTACTCCAACAGTATTTCCAACCAAAATACTCAACAAGAATTCGTGTCACAACCTAATTCTAACACAAAGAACTTTTATCAAGTGATAGGAAGAGTAGTCAATATAGCGTTTCACTTCAGATCATAATAAGGATGCCCCCTTTTTGAAGTTGTGCATTCAAAGACTTCCAAATCAAAATTGATTTAAATATTTTTTCCAATTATTAAACAATTTATTCAAAAAAAGAAGAGAAAAATAAATAAAGTTCTTAATTTTTTTTATGGAGTAAGTTTTATAAATTCTACACTTTCTCTCAAAACTCATAAAATTTAGGTTGTGTTAATCTTATGATCGCATCTAAATTTCCCTCTCTCGAATTTTGAATTTGACTAGTATCTACTTATTCAATTAGCGGTCAATTAACTGAAAGCATTAAAATCATAACAGAAATAAACGGAATGAAAAAATTCATAGAAATAACTAAAAAGATAAATCAAATCATACTCTCAAGTTTTGCCTAATCAAACCCTAGATTTGATGTTTAGTTCATGACAGAAGCCATAAAAATAATCAAATTCAAATAAACATCATAGAGAAGAGAATAGAAAAACTAGTTTTCGTAGATCTTCAATCTCCTTTGGGATGTTGTTCTTTATTTCTCCTTGATTTCTTAAAGATTGCTTGCTTCTTGCTCGGTTGAATTCTCCTTCTATTTTGATCTTTAGATTTGTATTTATAGTATTTTGAAGCCTTGGAAGAATTAGGGTTGGATTGGGTTAAGAAAAGAGTTTAAAAAAAAATTCAAAATTCCTTTTTCTATCCCAACAGCTCTGCGGGGCCGCAATGCTTTTGATTTTCAACATGAAGACGGGCACCGGGGTGCTCCTTTCGAGTGGAAAAAAACACTACGTATCTTTCAGTATTTTTATCATAACTTCTTGTATCGTTATTTGATTGACGTAATTCAAGATACATTGGAAAGCTAACTCAAAGGGCTACAATTTTTTTTCAGATATCATTTTCCAATTCCAACATTTGATATGTCAAAAATGGGTCTCAATATGAGACGAAAAATTCAGAGCATAACTTTTTTGGTTGGAAATTGATGTGTGATCATACTTTGGTTATATGTCACCTCCTTGAATTTTTTTTCCAATTGACTCTTAGCACTCTCAAATCTTCATTGTGATATCTGACACAACTTTTGAATATTAGCACTTAAGTTCCAAACTTCGAATCTCTTACAATTAAGCCCATTTTTCAATTTTGCCAACTTTTGCTTATTTCCTTCAATTTTATCAATCTATATCACAATATCAAAAAGGCACATTAAAACGCTCTAAAATGCGTAGGAATTAGCTAAATATCAAGTTTTGATGATGTCTAATGTATGAGTGAAATACACTTATCAAGCAGCGATGATAGGGTAGAAGAATGTTTGTGATCAATTATTTGAATGTTGTGACTAATAAATTGTTAATATATGACTCGTAAATAATATGTGACCTAAAAGACTGTGTGATTGTGACCAAATTTATAACCATGACTCAAAATTTGGTACGTTGTGACTAATAATTTGATAATTTCTGATCTATAAATAACCTGTGATTAGGGTTGGGTATATCTCCCGAACTGAACTGAATCTGACGGTTCTTGTAAAATTAAATACCCGAATGAGTATCCGAATTGAGAATCGACGAGTACGATTTGGTTCTCTGTTCTAGACCAAGAATCGAAGAGCCGAATCTTTCTAATTTTTTTATATTGAATAAATCAAATTATTTTAATTTTAATTTTCTCTAAACAAATTAACAATTTCTAAATCCAAATTTTTGGCCCAGTAATTTGTTTCATTTCTAATTTTTTTAATTTTTGGCCCAATTACCCATTTTATCGTTTCTTTTCTTAGCCTAACAAGATCCAACCCGCTAAATAACCCTAAACACCTACATTAAAGTGCATAACGTTGTCTCGACTCTTGCACTCACTCTCGCAGCCTCGCTGACATTCCAAAACCTAAAACAATCCCCGATCGAAACTATGACCGCAGCGATTATTTGAACAAGATAGTCTATTGATTTCTAACATTCCAAAACCATTGCAGTTATTTAGATAATTGAAGTTTTAGTATTAATATCTATTCTTTGGTATTTGTGAATTGTAAACATTGGTAAATTCATCTTGTCGGACAACTTGTTATTTACATGTTATTAAATTTGACTATGTTAATTTGTAAAATTACGATTGAATGTGTCATTAGTTATATTTATATAGTGTTGTTATAAATGTTAAAAAATATAATTATAGTACGGAACAGAACCCGAACGGTTCCATAATTATATTTGGACCCGACGATTCCATTTACTAGATATCCAAAAATTTTGGTTCGATTCAATTCTCTTTAGAACTGAACCGAATCGACCCACGTCCACCTCTACATGTGACCAAGTAATTTGATATTTTGTGACCATGGAACATGTTGTGAAAAATAAAATTTGTAATTTATGATCAATAAATAATATCTGACTTATTAATTTGATAAATTTGAGATTGAGAAATAAGTTGTAACCCATAAAATTTGTAATTGACTACGATATTTGTATTTGTGACTAATACATAATTTTGATAATAAATTATATAATATTGGGACATTAATATATTTAATTAATAAAATATATATTTAATTACTTATTTCATAAATAAAATTTAATTAATATTTGAGTTTTAAAACAATAAACATTGTTTTTTAGTCATACTTAATCTTTTAAATATAAAATTTTTCCGCCCCAGAATTCGGCTTGATCTCGTAAGTAGGCCCAACTTAGAACAACCATAATTGAATTTTAAAAATATTAAATTATATATTTATCATTTTTCACGTACTAAACCTATAGAAACAAAAATTAAGATATTTTGATTAAATCTTTATTCATTGCCAACGGTAAAATAAGGAACAAGATAATGTTTTCAATTTTATTATTTAGTGCTCGAAAGCTTTTGACGAAGCTTGATTAAAAGTTTATTAACTTTTACTCTCAACTGAGCAGTTGATGAAGTTCACTTTTAAGTGTTGATGGATATGTCCATACGATTTCCAAGAAAAAAAAAACATTACTCGAGTAAATTTATAAAACCAACATTTTTAAGGAAGTTGAACCATTCAAATATTAGATTGCATAAAATTCTAAGTAATACACAACATTTTTCCTTAATTAAAGAAACACACTTTGCCGTGCTTACTAACTTGATCATCGAAAACTCCATCAGGATCACTCTTCCCACTTGTTGCAGCCTCAGCAATGAAACCCAACCACCAATAGGCCATAGTGAGAAATCAATCAAGTTGTTCCAACTCGTGTTTCTTTATTACAACTTCATTTCTTGCTGAAATCAAACAAGATGACATTGCTCATACGACACCAAGCAATGGCCAGATTGAGAATGAAGGTGCAGACGTGCACAATGCAAATGTGGTGACCGAAGAAAACTTCGAAGTTTGCTACCAGCAGGTTAACACTTGATAATTCAAAACAAATACGAGCCCAGCAAGTCAGCTGAAGTCAGAAAACAATGAGATCCTAAGCATTAAACACAAAATAACATGAAAAACCCTTAAGGATACTAAGAAATCCTATGTCGAGAACAACTTAACCAGAGAACATCGTTTTCTATTTGGAAAGGCCCATGAGCTAAGTAGAAGAGTCAAAAAGGGAGAAATAGCTGAGAATGTGAACCAAGGGCTCAACAAAGGAGCATCCAAATGACCTCCAAGTCAGTCACGTGATCTCAACAAGAAGCCATGATCTGCAGCAGAAGTGCAGAACCCAAAGATGTAGTCCTTGTGAAAAATAGAAGAAAAGAATGACGAGAATCATATTAATCCAATATCACTGGCATTCCTCCCAATGCAACTATCTACCATTCATTAACTTAAAGTCTATATGCGAATCATATTAATCCAATATTACAGAACCGCACAATTTGAGAGAAGCCATGACCCTTTAATTGTACATATAGCATACGTAAATCCATTTAAGCTCATTCCAGTGACAACGTCCAAATTAAAATTACTTGCTAAGGATAAAAAAATAGTGTCAGGCAACAGAAGGCAGATATTTTTACTTTCAGCAGAAATACCGCATGTAATGCCATTGTAAGGTCCTTTATCCATGTGGGAATATGTGCACTGCCACAAATCAACCATTATTGCCCATCTCAAGAGATAGGCTGCAGAAACATTAGAATAACAGTAGCTTGTTTACACTAATTTTATCAAAGAAAAAGCATTGTTTAAATTCAGTAACTTCATTATCTATAAGAGCATCCTAATCTGAGTGCATTAGCAACCATCTGAAATTATCATTTTCTTTCACCACTGGCTTTGAACACGGAAGAATCTTCAGCTGTTGCAACTGATTCATTCTCTTACAAAACCTTGTGCTCTCCATTAATCGTGATAATTTCACATGCTGCAGCTTCGGAATTCAAGGTGGCAGGGACAATCTTGTTTTCCCTCAGTTTTCCCACATGCCCATTTTTATCAACATCTTCAGTTGAGGGAGACTCACGTATCTCCACATTCGCAACCTGTTATAGGATAAAAAAAGGTATATGAGATTGATAAGCTCATATAAATCACTACCAATATTTAAAATATCACCCAAAAAAAAAAAAGATAAAGAAAAAGAAAACAAGGCAGACAACGCACAAAATAATTCGTTGAAAAACTATACATATGCATATACAACTTTAAAATCATTAACTTGCCTTCAACTTCCGTTGCTTAGCTTTCTTCTCTACCATAGTCTTTTGACGCCCTTCATAGAATTCAAAATCATCCAGAATGCATGTCTTACTAGAATGGCCTTTAAAAATCTTAATTATTTGAATACCCTGATCAATTCCAACCTGCAGCAAGAACCAAGTTATAAGACAGGAGCATCAAAACTAAGAAGATGGTAAATATCAGATAATAAATGGTACACCTCCTGAATATCCCTGCTGTTTGTCACAGGTTTATTCTCGTTGTTTTCAAGTGTGATGTGCCTAAGCAAACTATTAGGCACATCTTTGACAATATGCCACTTCACTGGGAAGCAACCACTCCACTTATCCTGTTGCCAATACTCCAGACTATTGTCAAAATCAACTGGACCAACCATTTCTGCAAGACCAACAAACTGTCCACTGGCATTGACCTGTAATGAAGTAATTCTCTCAAAAAGGTATCAAACCATGAGTTTTTATCCCTACTCGTAGAAGGAAGCCAAAAGGAAACAAGCAGATACTTACAGAGTATAACAGAAACAAAGGGCATCCAGCAGATTTCTCTTGAGATTCCTTGTATGCAGCATCTAGTTTTTTGTTACCATTGGGCGTGCTCGCCCAGACACCATATTTAATACTTTTATGCACATCATCCTCACTGTAAGATTTGATGATGAAAAACTTAGCATCTGCATATTTTTCAGGGAAATCCTCTTTGTTGTACTGTTGTCTGTCTGGAGAAAGAGGCAAATTGTTCTTGTCGTTACCCTTCAAGGGAAGGCTCAGTCCCTTCACTGGCAATGTGATAGGTTCAGCATCTTTCAGATCATTCAAGCCCTTTGCTCGAGGTCCTCTATTCAATTCATTAAAACCATCCATGCTTTCATTACTGTTTCCGTATAAACTACTACCACGACCCTTGGAACTGTACTTGTTATCAACAGCTAACCACCCATGGCTGTTGGTCCTAGGATAATAACGGTTGGGTGCAAATCTGCCGCCACTACTTGCATACTGACCATAAATCTTGTGATTAGCATACACTTGATTCGGAAATCCAGTTGCGCCCAATCCAGATGTTCCTCCAGGGGGTTGCAGGCCCTGTAAAGTGAACAAACCCAAATCTTACCAACAGCTTGCAGCAATTGATAACAAAATGTCTAACAAAGCATATAAAGTAGTTGTAAAGTAAACAATGTATATACAAATGAAAAGAGGAATATATTTTCCAGCCATAGAAAATTGATTTTTTTTTTTTCATCCCTTTTCTCTCTTATGTTTTGGTGGTGGCAGCCTTTTTTACTTATCTGGAGATTTGCGAGGTATTTAAGGGACGTATAACGGATTCTTAAATAGTAATAGGATACAAATTCATTCCAGAGACAGATGAATAACTCAGATAAAGCATACCACCAGCTGGTTGTGATTCCTTCCAGTAGAAAAATTGTAGCCATGTGAAACTGCTGAGGAGATCCCAGAACTTGCTGTAGGATTAGGATTCAATCAGAGATTAATTGTTTTATATAGCCCATCTGCATGACAGGCGAAATTTACTGCCTAAAATCAAAGAATTACCTGATGGCAATCCTCCCCATCCATAGGAATCATTGCAATTCATAGTTGAGTTCTGGTCATATGGTCTTAAAGGCTTTGACAAGTTGCTTCTATAGGCAGTAAAATTTCCTACGGAAGGCATATTTCCATTAGCTGTTTCTGCTTGCGATTGCACCTCAGCGACACTGGGTACGGAAGCATTGATCTGATTGGGCGCGTAAGATCCACTGGTCTGAGTAGAAGGTTGGAAATAAGAGGTCGGATACTGGTACTGCTGTGGCCCATATAGCTGACCATCATGCCCCATGGATGAAGCTGTAGGGGAATATGCACCATATGGTGCATAAGTATAACCATGATACTCCCCATAAACACCCTATATGATATCATCAGAATCAGAAACCTCCTTCAAAATGCTTGGTAATTGCATTTGACTTATAATCTGCAATGCTAAATACAACAATGGATAGCTATGTTTGTGAGATAATTTTAATCTACATCATAGAAGACTAATTATATCCGATGCCTAAACAGTGCTCTCTGTCTGTCCTTTTTTAGTTGGATTGCTAATGTAACAAAGTAACTACACATTTGTAATTAAGCAAACTTTATCCCAATATCCTCCCTCTTCATCATTCTTTCTTCACTTTAATCTATGGTGTCGCAGGATAGATCTCCAGACTGCATCTAAAATCTATTCTAACCGAAAATGTAAATTGATAGAAATAAGATGATACAATTTTTGAATTAAAAACTTACTGAAACCTGTTCGGCTCCATCCGGAGTTGAAAATCTATCCCAGTCATTCACGGATCCATCATAAGCTGCATGAATACCATATAAGAAGTCTAATACCATGACAACTAGGGTACGCATATTGTAAAACAAGCAAGGTAGTCAAAAATAATTGCTACCTCCATAATAGTATGTAGATGAAGGATAACCACTGGGGTTGTAGATCATGCTTGGATCCATGAAATCCTGATGAAAAGAAGTTGTAGATCTCTCATATGGCCTGTTCAACCCAATTGCTGAAGTCCCAGATTCAACAGGTGAATACTGAACAGCAGTCGTCTATTCCAAAGAAACACTATTATATGAGCACGATTCAGCAGAAAATTTGAACAAAGCTTCACAAATTAGTAAGATGATAGTATTCTAAAACCAACCAAACGAGAGAGATTTTAAAACACTACCTTCTTTCTAGAGTCAGGAACTTGAAGCGATTTGTTCTGCCTATCCAAGGACAATTTATGCAGCACGTCTGCTACTTCTGGAACAGTTAAAAGTCAAGGAAATAAAACCATCTAAGGGGAATCCCTAATCTGTTCATTATGTGCTATGAAAATCATCCTTCATTTATGATCATACAACACAAATACATTAAAAAAATATCACAATCGGTCAAAAACAGTACATATTTACCTTCACAAAATCCCAATTCAATATGCTCTTGACGAGAAACATGACAAATATTTCAGAAAAAGAGCAGATGAACACAATTTTTTTTTGGATAAACCAAAAACCCTTAAACCTTAGAAAAACCCATGAATAGTTAAAATTATAAGAACCGCAGAGTAATTCATTAATCGAGTAATACAAGGTATGGAGAAGAAAAACACCCCTGAACAATAGAAATACAGAATAATTCGTAAGAATATGAAGAAACAGCCAAAAATTAAGCCTACCCAGAGAAGTAGATGAAGAGAGGATACTATCTGACGCTGAAGGGACGGACGCCATGGCCAATTATCAAGTATCTCGATAAACCTGGTTTCTTGTATCTATGTACAAGCCTTGTTATATACTTAACCTATATATATGTAAGAGAGGGATTTGTAAATAAAGCAGTAACTCTCTGAAGACTGGAAAGTAAACTAGCTAAGAAAGAGAAGTAACATTTGGCTTGGAGAGAGAGAGCTGTCTGTGAGGTATCTAGCCGCCAGGGAGGAGGAAAGTTTGGGTTTTCGATTTAGGGGAGAGACCCAAAACAAAGCGGTTTTTCTATAATAAATAAGAGCAGAGCGGTCTGATTTAAATGGCACCACGCCTCTACGACAAAATTTTATGCAAACTCTTTCCTGTATGTTTATTACTGGAGTAAAAGGCAAATTTCTAGTTGCTTCCATTCGAAAACCTAATCACCATAAGTGTCCCTTTCCTTTGGAGTGGCTACAAGACTGGTTATTATGTACTTGTCCATGGGATGATTCATTTAGGATCTGGTCTTAACCACTTCCACTCATTTGAGTCATTTCCATTATGCCCAGTCAAACTTTTGGCTGCGCTATTCTTGAAATGTAGTCATTACGGTTGAGTCTTGTGAAGAAAACTACACGAACAAGGGGAATGAGTTTTCTCATTTGTGCTTTATTGTCCTCCAATTTGCACGAGTTAATTGTTCCAATGATCAATGAATTTAGGTCCATGTCTTTGATTGACCACTGAACTTTAAAATGTCGAGTTTTTGCAACTGAACTTTGACAAATATCGAGTTTTGGTCATTGAATTTTGGTCATGTCTTTGATTGGTCATTAAAGTTTAAAATGTCGAGTTTTGATGAATATTTGAAGTTTTATATTCTTTAACCAAAACAAAAAACAACCCATTTTTCCTACACTTTTGATACTCATTTCTTCTCATGCTTTGTGCTTGCACACTTAACACTAATGAATTGTCTGTAATTTGAGCGACAACGAACTTTAATAAAGATACAGATCCTAGAGACTTCCCAAAAGTTCTAATATGAATGTGCCTCACAATGAGAAGGCAACACCATGACTTCACACGAATATCTAGTTTCAACCTTTGATGGGAAAACTATCACTAACCTAGTGTCCTCATCATTACTTTCCCAACCAGCCATGCTGAAACAACTCACTCCAAGGACTTTATTGACTTGAATCGTGTTCAATGAGCACCTAATATACAAGTTAAAACAAATTATCTTAAATTGTAATAATAGAAAGACAATGAATAAAAGAAACTAATATTTTAAAAGACCAAAGCAAATCAATTGACATGATGAAGAGTAAACATTGCAGCAAAACTAAAATCTGACTTATTTCTTTCAATAATTAATTTATTTTGCACCTTCTGGGAATACAGTAACGAATTTACAATGGTTACATAGATGATTCATACTGAAAGCATATATCCATGAATTGACTGTAAAAATTTAAGAGGGATGTCAAATATTCATTAAGTGCTCGTTTTTTTACCAGATAGTAGACAACAAACAAAAATATTATTTAATCTTCTCCATTCTCCAACATAGCCCAATCCAACCAAATATGCCTGAAATGTTTAAAAGGACATTCAAGTTTGTCTACATAGAAAATGTCAAAATGACATGATAATGTATAATTGAGTTAGAAAAGCTCAGTCTTGATGTACTTTGTTTTACTAAGGTCATCTCTAGCGATACACCAAATTTTGCACCTAACTAGAATTCATCTCCAACCGTTACACAAAAAGTTACACCAAATGAACCGTATTTAACCATTTTATTTCATTTTTTTATTCTTTATAATTTATTTATTTAAAATATTATTTATTTAATTATTTTATAAATACATAAATTACTAAAAAATAATTAGGTTAAATTACGGAAAAGATTAAATTCATTAATAAATATAAAAAATATAGTAAAATTAATAAAAGTACTACAACAACGAAAATATTAAATCATGTCATCACGGTCTAAGAAGAGGTGTGGGAGCAACTTAAGGGCGTGGGACGGCAACATTTGGAATCCAACAATATATTTATAGAAGGATTGTACAATAATTACCAATCCCGACTTGTTGAACTTATATAGAAACTTGGTTGTATTGCAAGATAGTAAAATGTGTAGTTATTGTTCTTGAATCTTGCATTAGTCCTTACATGGAGAACATGGAGGAGTATTTATAGTGATACAAGTTAAATCGTGGCCCTTGGTTAAGAGTACATGTAGCTTCATCCTGTTAGTTTACATATCCAATCATAGGCATCACTTTTTACTATCTAATCTGCTATACATCTATTAATTGGTAGAACCGCCTCTATGTTTGACAAGACAAGACACTTACACTCTATGATGGACGTCCCATCAATCACTCAACAAAGATTTTTGTGTAAGATCAGATCTCTTGGGAGAAGTAATGGCAAAGGTACTTCAGAGCTTCGGCTTTTGTCCATTCTTGAACTGGTGCATCAACATTACGTTCGCCCTCGATAATCATGTTTTGCATTATTATGCATGCTGTCATGATATCATGTAATACTCATTTTTCCAAAACCTTGCGGGTCCTTTCATTATTGCAAACTTCGATTGTAGAACACCAAATGTATGTTCAACATCTTTTCTACACGCTTCTTGTTTCATTGCAAATAATTTTTTTTTTGGGATGCATGGTTCATAAATTGTTTATACAATGATAAACCATTTTGGGTATATACTATCAGTTAGAGGAGCAATACATTGAGCGAGATTTGCGAAAAGATGAGATCTCTCCAAAATGTTGATATCATTGTTCAAAACAGGAAGTCCAAAATATGCATGCCATATCCAAAGACCGTGTTTGTTATATTTTAAATTTTTTTCTTTTAATTAATTTATTAATTATTATTTTTCACATTCAAAATTAAATTTAAATGCAAATAATAATAATAATAATAATAATAATAATAATAATAATAATAATAATAATAATAATTTATTGTATGAAAATATATATAGCACAAATGACACAAATACCCTTAACAAATTTATTTGGAAAGGATAAAAAAGGGCAAAAAAGACTTTATACACTTTGTACTATTTTGCACCAATATGGTGCAAAGTATAGTGTTGCATTGGAGCAACTTTGCACCAAAAAATGGTGCAATTTGATGATTTGGTGTTAACACTGTAGATGCCTTGACACTTCTAATTTTTCGTATGTGCTTTAATATTGGGTCTACGACTCTTCAAATCCAACGGACACTCCATAACCTTCCAGTTTGTAAACATAGAGTAAGCCAAAACGACTTTAATGTATAATTGAGTTGGAAAAGCTCAGTCTTGATGACTATTATTGCTAAATTTACCTACGTTCTCTGATATTGGTCTACAGCTCTTCAAATCCAACGGACTCTCCATAACGACACTCAAATCCCACAAAAATATTTACCAATTATCTTAATCAAGGTAATGTGGCCTTTTAAATAAACAAGTCTTGACCTGTGGCAATCCACGGAACAGTTCAAGTAACAAACTAAGCCCTCGTTTGGGCTCCATTACATTACATTCCATTATGATTCCGTTTGGTACCCATTTTTTTCAAAATGCATTTTCTCTTTTTTTTTTTTCAACCACACATTCTTTATTAAAATAATATTACGCATAAATCAAAAAATTTTCCTTATTTTTCAACAACACATTTTCCATAAATTTACTATTCTAAAATGTATTTTTACATAAAAATTGGTCTCAAACACCCTCTATATTTCATTTTTCTTTCTCATATTTTCAACTACACAATATTTCATAAAATAATATTATACGTAAATCGAAAATTTTTCCTTCTTTTTCAACCTCTAATTTTTGTTAAAAAAATTATTTCACCGATTTTCATTTAAAAAAATGAGGGCCAAACGGGGTTTAATTTTCCTCAAAAAGGAGCTAGATATTTTCTTTTTCTTTTGGTCAAGTATATTTAGCTTTTGCGGGTTAGTTAGTTTTTTTTTTTTTGCTCTCTCCTTCACCTGCAAAAATGACCTAATTACTTTAGTTTCGCTGAAAAGATAGCACGGTGTACGACACTCCTATTTCAAAGAAGATAGATTTTATCCATTTTTTATTCTTCTTTCTTGTTATAAATGCTAGTCTTTGCCTGTGCAATGTACGGGATCAATTTTTTCAAAGGTAATATTAGTGTTTTAAATGGGTTGAATTCTCGTAAATTACATCCTCAAATGATTTCTATTTCCTACATTGTGATGTATTTTTCATAATTGAGAGCACAGGTAATTTGTAATTTGAAACACATTCATTCTTTCCTAGAATGAGAATGCCCATGTGATGCTGATTGATCATATAGCTACAAATGGATAACATCAACTTTGTAACTAAATCAAAACATAAACAACTAAAGTGTAAAACATAAATAATGTACACAGTCTAGAAAGTTTTTGTATATAAAAAGTCCATAACAGTTTTATCGGTTAAGCTTAAAAAATTTACTTATAACTAAATAACTTCTTTAACTTAGAAGCAAGAAAAAAATAACATATCTAAACATGTTTGACAAAACTAAATGAAAAAAAAATACTTATTTCAATATTGTCATTCACATATGTACCACAATTACAAAAAGTAAATAAATAAATAAATATGAGAAGGTAACCAACATGGAGCAAAAATTGCCATCAATGTTTAGTTTATAATGCCTAACTTGCTCTAGTAATTATTGCATGCACTTAGCGGGATGTACAAAATCACCATTTGCAGTTTCCCCAAAATGAAATGACAGTTTCACTTCCTATTAGAGCAAAGGAATCAAAATGTAAACCAGAAAATTTTTCAAAGATCATAATAAAAGTGCAAGGCAGAAAGTGACTCCTATGCTGGACTCCGATTGCACCCTTTACAATTTTATTCGTTTCTTAAAAACCAAACGCAAACCTGACTTAGTGACCCAAATAACCCAATAAGCCATTCAAGCCCTAGCACAACATACCACCACTATTTTCACCCAACTCCCAAAACAAACAGTGTACCCATAATAATAACATCATTAAAAGCTCCACCACCTTTAACCCGTCAATTCCATCTACATCTCAACTCTAAATCACTGTTATCTCTTTTCTTTGCTGCTCAATGCTTTGTATCTTCCACAACACCAATACCTTCACGCTCAAATAGCTAGGGACACCTATTGCATTTACATCTCATTTCGAGCATATATATTATCTCCATTTCCTAGCTTTCAACTATATTTTGATAATTAAAGATTAGTTGAAGCCTTTTCACACACCTAAAGAAAGCCAGATTACAATAGAAGGTAGCCAT